GAGGCCTGGCCGGCTCGGAGCACAGTATGTGGACAATCAGGGTCTCCTCCCTGAGGCCACCTGTCTCAGAGGCCCAGGGTCGCCGAGTTCGCTCTTGGTATTTATTTTTCTCCACCTCCCGTCTCCTCCCTGGGGTGACTTATGCATTTCCAGAACCTTGGGTGACACGGGACGTGTGTGAGGATCGTGGGCAGTTTTTCGCCCCCCCTTTCGGTGATGCCACCAGCACCGAGTGCTGCCTGGACTGCGGCCAGTGGGTTGGGGTGACCAGGCTGCAGAGGGTCATCCCTGTGGTCTGGTGGCCGGAGCCGGGGCAGGGCCTGTGGGCGAGCGGGCCCTTGCCGCCTCGCCTCATCGATTTTTGTGGCAGTTTTCTATGTTTGTTTTGTTTGTGGTACTGGGGATCGAACTCTGGCCCTTGTGCTTGCGAGGCAGGCAGCAGAACCACTGAGCCAAATCTCCGGCCCTTCTATGTTAGTTTTAGGTCAAAGATTTTTTGTTTAGTTTTTTAAACTTTGAAAATTGATGGTTTGGCTATTAAAAAGAAAAAATACCAGAAAAAAGAGAGAAAAAGACACTACAGGCCAGTGAGTCGGAGTCTCAGGGTGGGGTGGCGGTTTCCCGCTGGCAGAACAGCGAGGCCTGAATTGTATTTCCTTCCCCTGGGGTGCAGGCGGGCGCGGGACGCCTCCAAATCTGCAGTGACCTTGTCCAGCAGTTCTGTTTTTCCGCTCTTCTCCTGGCGTGGGGATTTTATTTTTGTTTGGTTTTTTGGTGGGGTTTTTTTTTGGGTGTCTTGTTTTCTTTCTCCTCCGTGGATCTTGGCAGGGACTCCTCTCTGTGGCCGTCAGCCAGAGGGAATGTTCCGGAGCTGCCAGGAAGGGAAGAGACGCGGTCGGTGACCCCATGAACAGTGCTCCGCCCTCCCCGCTCGCGCTCTCCCCTGCCCTTTGCACGGTGTTAGGAGCCGGACTCATTTCCCACCTCACACGGCACAGGTCTGCTCAGTGCCACCGCCCACATCCACGGCTCACGTCAGCCCTGTCACCGCTGCCATTCCTGAAGGGGAGGCGCTCCAGGGCGGCCAGGCACAGGGTTCACTGCCAGGAGGGCAGTCCGACCCCCAGTTCCTCGCCGGTGTCCCGTCAGCACCTGGTGAAGGGAAGACACCTGCTTAGATCATCACTCGGGTCCCCACTTTAGGAGGACCCTGCCTTGGATCAATCATGTGGACACTAAGGCACGTTTTAGCGTCTCTTGTCTTGACAGTTATGTCCATCTGTCTGTCCATTTGTGTGTCCTGCGTCGTGTCATTGGATGTAATCCGGAAATCATGCACACTAGCCTCTGCCGACCATGAAGCAACCCGTTACACAGACTCAGATCAAATATCAAATAAACCTGTAACACAGAGCAGCCTTCTGAGGTCTCCGCATCCCCGAGGGGCCCTTCCCTCACTGCCAGGCCTGCTGGGCCCCGTTGGCTGCCCGGCTCAGGCCCCGCTTCCTGGACTCTGCTGGCCTTGGGCCCTGTAACACCTGGAGCCCCGAGGCGGGGCCTGCAGGTGTGAGCTGGCCCTGGTCAGGGCCCTCGAGTGGCCAGCACATCCTCTGCTGTCCCTGTTGTTGTGGGGTGGGCCCTCAAGAGCTCTGATAAGTGGGGGCAGGAGAGGCCCCTGCGTGGGAGCCGGCAGCCCAGCTCGGTCACACCTCGTCCCTTGTGTGAAGCTGGACGGCTGTGCCTAGTCTTCTAGAGGTGGGGCCGAGTCACCACAGGGAGCCCCAGCCCCTTTGGGTCCGCTGAGGGCATCAAGATCGAGGGCTGAGCTCAGAGGTGGCAGAGCTGCCATCAGACCTCACTTCTGCCATGTGTTTGATGCCACTTCGGTTCCCTTGCCTGGAAAGTCAGGAAGGACAGCTGCCCGCCCTGTGCCAGGGTCACCTGAGACTGGTGGTGGGCGGAGGAAGGCCATCCTAGTCTTGTGCCGCGAGGCTGTGAAGTCCGGGCACACGGCACGGTGACAGGCGGGGATGTAGCTAGGCGTTCCCCATGGACCCCAGCACCTGCGGGATGGAGGGGCCCAAGCTGATGCCCTCCCTCCTCTGCTGAGCAGACACCCCACTTGGAACCTCCCGTCTAGTCTGTTCTGGTCTCCCAAACCCCTGCCACCCCTACCCCAGCCTCGGGTCCCTGCGGGAAGGCTGGTCTGGAACTGGTTAGCTTCTGGAGAAAACAAGATGTGGAAACACCACCCACTCTTCCCAAAGGCAGACAGGACAGGAGTGGGGCCTGGCCTGAAACCGCAATGATTTTTCTTTGGTTACAGCAGCGATGCGGAAAACATGGGGAAGCTCAGCAAATGTAAACCCCAGACCCTTCACCCCGTGAGCATCGGAGGCGCTTCCAGGGTGCCAGGGCCCTGGGCCAAGCTGTGTGTCTTCCTCTCGCGCTGCTCACAGCCGGCCTGGTGTCACCCCATTGCAGATGGGGAAGTATGGGCCGGGTCTAACCAGCTTTGGGGGGCTCCCCGGGCCACGGCCAGCTCAACAGAGCTCCACGGTGCCTCAGTGTTTGCTGGTGGCCGCAGCAGAAGCCAGGACAGCAGGCACAGCCCTGCCTTCAGACTGTTGAGGTCGCCCTGCCCTCCCTGCCTCCCCACGCCCTCCAGAAGCCTGGACAAAGCCCAGTTCCGGTGCAGTGGCCCAGAAAACATGACTTGACCTGGGGCCAAGGCTTTGGAGAGCTGCAGTGTCCCATGCTTGCTTCTGAGACACTCTGTCCCTTTGCTATTCACAGTGTCGTTTCTGGGAAGGCAGCGGCTGGTTTTTCAAAACTGCACAGCCAGCAGGCATTTCTGACCACCCTGCTCGCCTCACTGGAGAAGCTGAAGATCTTGGGCCCGAGGGCCTGAACGAACCATCAACCATTGCCCACCCTCCCTCATCCTAACCACAGTCCACCCCCCAAGACCGCCCTCCTGCCCACCCGCTCGTGGGCAGTGCCCGGAGAGGCCGGATTTCCCCCGGAGCTCTTTGCAACACCCAGATGTTGATGTCTGCGGCCTTAGTGACTTCCTAAGCCTTGCTTTCCCCACTTGAGACCCAGGGAGGGTGGACGCCTGTCAGGGTCACAGGTATTGAGGGCACCTGGGCTAAGACCACTGTCTGCCTAGTTAGTACTCTTGGCATCCAGTAAGCTGCTGCCAGGAGTGATTTCTAGAAGGAAACCAGAGGAAGTCATTACATACCAGGAAGGAGACACAGGGCTGATCCTGGATTAGCAGAGGACACCAGGGCAGAGGTCTGGCCCTCATCCAGGGGCCCAGAGAGGGCTGGGGCCCCTGGAGGTGGTGCTGAGGACCCCCCAGGTCGGGAAGGTTTAAGTGCTCCTGGGACTTCCCGTCCAGGCTCCTCCCCTCCCCAACTTTCTCTTCCGCTGCTGCTGCTGCTGCTGCTGCTGCTGCTGCTGCTGCTGCTGCTGCTGCTGCACCCTAACCCCGAAGGCCCGGCCACAACCCCATGGCTGGTCTAAGTTCCTCATTGCTCCAGAAGGTAGGGAGGGCCCTGTGGGGTAGTTCCAGGGAGGGTCAGGTTAGCAGGTGCTGGTCTCCAGGAGTCCCCAGAACTCAGCCCACACCCTGCCGGTTCACAGAAGAGAAAAGCGGCCCAGAGGCTGGGTTCCCAGCTACAAGCCCTTGCTTGTACACACACAGCCCGGGGTGTCCCAGTTGCAGGAAAAGTGGGATAAATGAAGCTTTCAGATCCAGTCAGGCCAGGCCTGGGAGCGGAGTGGACAGCAGGAGCTGGCCGCCCCGGTGTCTTGGATCTCATCAGTCCAGATAAAGGCCTATTGGGTGAGCTGTCTCAAAAAATAGATACATAAAAGCCAGGCGTGGTGGCGCACGCCTGTAACCCCAGCACTGAGGAGGCTGAGGCAGGAGGATCGCTGCAAGTTCGAGACCAGCCTGGGCTACGTAGTTCCAGCTCAGTCTCAACTACTTAGTGAGACCCTGTCTCCACAAACCAAAAATAAATAAATCGATAAATAAAAAAATTAAAAGGCTGGGAGTGTAGGTCAGTGTGAGGGCCCTGGCTTAATTCCCAGAAGCTTAAAAAAATAAAGAGTGACGCATGTAAATCGGGGGCTGCTGTTCACCCCCAGTCTGGGTCGGGGGAAATCCCTACCTGGCACTCACGTGGCCATCTTCCCCTCCCGCCTCGCAGCGTATTGGGAACATATCCGTGCACCAGTATTTGTCTGCGGGGCCTTTGCAGTTGTGTTGTTTGGCTTTGCAGTGCTGGGGCTTGAACCCAGGAGCCTCAGGTGCAGGGTGAGGGTTCTAGCATTGCGTGGTCAGCCCAGGTCGGGACTGCCATCAGCTGGGCTGTGTTCCAGACGGGGAAACCATACTTTGTTCCGCTAATCCGCTGAATACCCAGTGCAGACACCTTTGCTCTCTGTTGGCTAGTCTTTTTATTTTTACTTTTTTCTCCTTTCTTTGCAATGCTAGAAATTGAATTCAGGTCCTTGTATATGCTGGGCAAGTGCTCTTGCCTACCACTGAGCTGCATCCTCAAACCTGTATTTCCTTTATTATTTAAAAAATTAATTACCTGTGTTTCCTTTTGTATTTTTAAATTTATTA